TCTGAAAGCTTTTTAGTTTTTCATTTATAGTAATTCTATGGTTATTTGCGTATTTTATTTAATCTTACATTTGTTGTTCTTTATTACTTTTGTATGCGTTTATTCCTTGTATTACCTTGTAAATTTTTAAATTCTGTCTGTTGACTTTGAAAATAGTGAAGGTAGCAAAAACTGGCGATATTAATGCAGATTCTTCGTTATTTAATTTCTTTAAAAGTAATATATAACGATAATATCTCGTGGCAACGATCTGAAAAGCGGTTCAGATATTTAAAGTGATACGTCGCCAAATCTCGGTTCGAGACTTATAGCCAGCCCATTCGTGTTAACGCTCTTTTGGGACTAAAAATAGAAATTTAGGAGACTACGGCAAATTAAAACTAGAAGTTTGATTTATATCGACAAATAAAATTATATAAGATATGATAAATAATGAAGAAATTAAACAACAAAAATCAGCTTAATATTTGTAATTTTTGCATGATTAGTTTCGAAGTTTCAAAAACAGAACCATCCTTCTCAGTTGCCTAAGTGCAAATGAACGAGATAAGATAAAAATGGCTGGAAAGAAATCAAGCTAATGCTGCCATCTATTTAATATCTTATTATATCTCGTTCTTATCTTAATATATCTTATCCTTGTCTTGCCTTAATATATCTTATCACCTTACATAATCTCGTTCATTTGCACTTAGGCGACTGAGGAAAATGGTTCTGTGTTTAAACTATCGAAACTAGTCCTGCAAAATATACAAATATTATGTTCATTCTTGCTGTTTAACTTTTCGATAATCGTTATTTTAACCTTATTTATTTAACGGTGTGTTATTTTAACCTAAATGATCGATAATGCCTTGAAATAAAATAATGGCTGGCAATGTGAGCAGAACTTTCATTTTAAATTATGGCAACATCTTTTTGTCGCCAAGAGGGCAATATATAACGATATTTCGCAAGCTTCTGAAAAAACACGGTAACGTTCACGGTTTGATTCCTTGTAACACAAATTAATGTTTAAAGATTTCTTGCTCCAAATTACTCTTTGATACTTTGGTGCTTGCTTGGTATACTGGTTTGCAGCATGTGATAGTGCCAGTTATTAAAATTATTACTCTTGCCAGTTATTGAAAGAATCTCATAAGGGCCTGAGTTGTGATACAACCGTAAAGAATATTCTCCAAACGAGATAAGTACCTTGACGGGTCCAAATTGTTCTTGACGGGTCCAAATTTCTCCACGACCATATTAAATGTACACTGCGAAAAAAAGGGGGACAGTTCTGTATCCCCTTTTCTGTTGTGCCGATTGACGAAATTCCAATTGCATTTTCCATGTCTCGAAAGCGCGACTTATGTATTAGATTTATATATAGCATTGTTTTAATATAGGTATTTTGACACAGAATCGGACTTTTTCTGAAATAACATACACATTTTTTTCCATATTTCGATTCTACCATTCAAGTTATGCCAAATTGCCAAGTTTTGTAGAAATCGCACGAGTAGTTTTAAAAAATTTGCTCTCAAAATTTTAGCTCTTCAATGTCAATTCAATTTGGTATGTATTTATTAATCTCTCTTTTTTATTACACTTACTTGGTTCCTTCTTTCACAGTTCAAAATTTAGGTTCATTCCAAATAAAATTCAAAAATTTTTTATGATTTATTTTTTAAATTTGTATTTTTAAATAAGTTTTGAATCGTAACCTATAAGAGATTTATCAGCATCTTAAAGTAAATGTATTTCTAAATATACCTGCAAAACATTAGAGGTTTTTATTCAAAATTTCCGAAGATAGACGTGAATTTATATATTAGCGCATTTTGAAATTTGGCATATTTGTTGAAAACGATAATAGCAGCTAACGTGGTTTACGCACTTTGTTAAAATTATTTGAACTTAGAAACTTTTTTTCCGCTCATGCACAATGTTAAAAAGGTAGAAACGATGTGTCTTTTCTCCTGCTCCTGCACAATGGAAGGGAAAGAAAATTAGGTTGCCATAAATTATTAAGAAATTCACCAAGTGTATTATTCTTGGCGCAAACTGAAAAACAAATTCCACCGAAATGAATTTTTGCATTTCAACGTAAATTTCGCACACAAAATTTAATATTTAGGCATAATTTGAGTCGGAGAATCGAAATACGAAAAAAAAAAAAAAAAAAAAAAAAAGAAAAAAAAAAAAAAAAAAAAAAAAAAAAAAAAAAAAAAACTTGGTATGCTGTTTAAGAAAATGTGCCACTTTGTGTCAAAATACCTATGTCAGAACAATGCTATATATAAATCTAATAAATCTAATATATATCCTAAGTCGCGCTTTCAAAACATGAAAAACGCAATTTGAATATCGCCCATCGGCCCAATAGAATGGGAGTTATAGAATTGCCCCCCCCCCCTCTTTTTTTTTTTTTTTTTTTTTTTTTTTTTTTTTTTTTTTTTTTTTTTTTTTTTTTTTTTAGTCCAAAGGGATTTGAATCCGGAAGGACTATTAGTTTCGTTTTGGCATTTTGCGTCGGACTCATAAATGTCGGTTCACTTTTCAAACTGTTGCCACAAAATGTTAGAGTCCTGCATTATATTTGAAGAAATTAAATAATGAAAAGTCTGCATAAATGTATGTATATTTCTCGTATTGTGATAAAACAACGGTACATAGAGTCATCGAATTTTGAATAACGTAATCCTCCAACGAATATGAACATGTGGAAGACAAAATTTGAAATTTGAAATTTGTTTTATGATCGATTTCCTATTTTTTAAAACTTTGACGAATTTTTGATTAACAAACTCAAGGATTTAAAAGCGAGCAATGGCAACGTTGTGCAGAAAAAACATTTTTATCTCCAGCGCGTGAGTCTCTGTATCGGAAATTCTAAAGATATGCTCGTTTTAAAACTATTTTGCGATATTGCTGTTGCACTGGATCTTATGGTTTAAGTGCGAGGAACATGATATTTAATAAAGAAAGGTAACACACAAAATGTTAAAAAAAACGCCCCTTTGGACGTAATTTAAAATCTGAAACATTTCAGATTTTTTTTTTTTTTTTGCTCAATGTATTTTACTTTTATAACAGTAGTTTTAGAATATTTTATAAAGTACTTTCTATCTGGATAATAAATTAATATACAGGGTGATTATAATTAAAGTTTAAGTTTCAAAACGCTATAAAAAAAGAACCACTCTTGAAAATGACGTCAAATTTGAAAGGAATGTTATTGAAGAAGGCGGAAAGCGTATGGCAGAAGAAAAAATTTAGTTTCAAAAGTTAGCAACAGATGGCGCTGCAAGCGGAAGAAGACGTAAATTAAAATGTTAGTTAAATTTCAGTGTTATAAAGCCGCCAGGTACCAGGCTGTTCCTCATTTCGCGTCTCAGACGTTCGCCATGGGTGTTTCACTGCAGGACCGCGCTCTGCTGGTAAAGCTGTATTACAAGAATGATGATTGTGCAAGAGTAGCTCTGCAAAAATTCAGTACACTGAAGGGTATAAGAAAGCGTTGGTCCAATGAGTGTCTTATGTCTAAAGAAAATGATGCAAAAATTCGAAACGACAGGTTCGTTTGATGTGCAATCTGGTAGAGGGAGAAAACGAGTGCATTCGACGGTAGTTGAAGAGTGGCCACAGCATTACAGGAGGGGTCGGCCGGTGGTGTGCAACCGTGCAGTGCACGAGGAATTGCCCGAACATTGGACAGGCCTACGAGCACGGTGCTGAAAATTATACGAAACATCCTGCAATGCTATCCGTACAAAATTGGCCATGTGCAGGAGTTGCTTCCGCCTGACCTGACAGCTAGGGAGACGTTTGCGTTAGAATTCCTGGCTCGCATGGAAGTGGATAATGAATGGCCGTGGAAAATTTTGTGGACAGATGAAGCCCATTTCCATCTGACAGGGTACGTGAATACCCAGAATTGTCGAATATGGGCAACAGAAAATCCACTGGCAACGCACCCCGTACCACTTCATTCTGAAAAGGTCACGGTATGGTGTGGCTTTACGGCACCATTCATCCTAAAACCATATTTTTTCGAGCAGACGGCTGCTTTCGGTCCTGTTACCGCAACCGTCACTGGTCAGAGGTATGCGTCTCTTTTGCGCAACCACGTGATTCCAGCTCTGCAACAGCGTGGATGTGTGGATGAAATCATTTTTATGCAAGATGGCGTTCCTCTGCACATTGCACATCCCGTGAAGCAGCTGCTGAGGCGCCATTTTGGAAATGCTCGAATTATCAGCCGTCATTTCCCTATAGCCTGGCTGTCCCGATCGCCTGATCTTACTCCGTGTGTGATTTCTGGCTGTGGGGATATCTGAAGGATGTTGTGTTCCGTGCTCCAATTGCAAATTTAGCGGAATTAAATTAAAGGCACGCATTTCGCAACACATTCTGAACATCACCCCGGAGACACTGCGATCCGTTGCGGAACATGCTGTTTGTCGCTTTCAACTTGTTGCACACAACGGTGGGATACCATATTGAACATGTTTTGTTGCCAGTCTCGCGACAGTTCCGAACTTCTTTGATGAATGGTTCTTATGCGGTATGTCGCCGCAAAACTCTTGAAACCGATTTGTCCCTTTCGATGTGATATGTACAGTCATGCAAATAAAATTATTCAACAATTCTAATTCTCAATGCGTTTTAATGTGTAACTTCTACCTTAGCCATTGTTTTACGAATCGTTTCTCGTCGTGATTCTGCCGCTTACAGCGCCATCTGTTGCTAACTTTTGAAACTAAATTTTTTCTTCTGCCATACGCTTTCCGCCTTCTTCAATAACATTCCTTTCAAATTTCACATCATTTTCATCAGTGGTTCTTTTTTTATAGCGTTTTGAAACTTAAACTTTAATTATAATCACCCTGTACTTTCGAGGAAAATATGTTGAAATCTAGTGTTAAAACTTCCAAGCACGTTTATGTTTATTCACTGAAAATTACATTCTCAATATTTTTACAAATTTATTGCACACTAAAATACTTTCTTTACAGTTTATTGCCAACTCCAAGGATATGAGTGCAGAAATGGCCCGTGAAGCCCTAGACTTTTTCCGTCCATACAAAGATGACCTCGGAAACCTCTGGAAACAGATAGTCGATGCAGCTAAAGAAGCTATTGGAAGGTTTTAAACACACAATTGTTGTGATTTACCAAAAACGTTTATATAAACTTTGATTGTGAGATATGTCACCATTGTTTTAATCCAAGCCTCGTCAGCTGAAATTTGTTACTTGCTCTGTTAAAAATAAAGCTTTAAAAGTGTAACATTTCATTTCTATAAATTTGTTATGCAAAAGTTTCAAAGGAATTTAAATATGTAAATGTTTTACTCATGCATTTAATAAAGGCCTCCGATAATAGAAATTGGAAAGTGATTCTTTAAATTCTTGTTCTTACGAGTACAATTAATTAATTAACGGATTTTTTATATTAGTAAATGGAGATCTACAGACACATATTTATTTCCATTTATAGAATTATATTTGTGTATATATATATATATATATACAAATATAACAAATATATATATCTATATATATATATAATTTATTTCCTAAACAGTATTGATTAATTGATTATATTATAACCTAAGTTTAATTAAAGTAGAATTATTTTAAAAGTGTGCATTATTCGCACTAAATGGATTTTAGTTCATACAACATTATATATATATATATATGTGTGTGTGTGTGTGTGTGTGTGTGTGAATATATATATATATATGTAACAATAAAATTCCATAGTCAAGAATACACTTAAAATTCTAACTGTATGTTCTTTTTATTTTTAATGGCGACGTTCTCTTATTTGAAAGTACGTGGAATTAAATCCACAGCCCCGTAGTCAAGTTGTTTTTCCCGCCTTTTTTACACGTACAGTTATAGAATGTTCTGGAAATATTTAAAGCGAACTGGATTGGCTGACGAGGCTGACGTCATTTCTTTGAAGCTCAGCCTTTCCAGAGGCTATAAAAGGACTCGCAAAGGAATATCGGGGGCTTTTTCTTAAATATAACGATGCAGTAAACTTCATACAAAAAAGTTATTAGTAATTCTTTTTTATTTACTCCGGAAATATGATTTTGCAACTGCTATTTCTCCTGACCAATAATAAATGGATCCTGTTTTTTAAACTTATCGTCTGATAATTTAAGCCACGACTACATTTATGATTCTTCAGCATTCTATTTATTCCGGACAAGGTGCATCACACACACACACACACACACACACACACACACACACACATATATATATATATATATATTATGTGTGTGTCTGTTAATGATTTAGAAACTGATACCATAAAAAGTAGTTGCAGACATTATTGCCAGTTTAATACTTCTTTTTATTGTCTTTCATAAACATATTGTTGCGTCCGTACGGGTTCTTAATAAATTAGATGCTCCCCTCCGTACGAGTTTTGTACGGGTTCTTTAATAGATTGGATGCACCCTTCCGTACGGGTTCTTTAATAGATTGGATAATAATACACCGGGTCCGGTGGTAGGTTAATAAAAATTTATTCTATCAAAATAAACTGGGGATCTATGAGCAGATGTTTTTCTGGCCTTATGTAGGTTTCATCCGGCCGCCGAGATATTTCTAGTACTTTCTGCTTCTCGAAATTACTAGAAAGCAATACGAGGATAGAATTACGGTTACAGCTAACATAGTTTTCAATTACATTTATTCAATTTCAATACATATTACGGTGATACAATGACCAGACCAAAATGTCGTCAAATGGTCGCCAAATTTGGCGACTTCTGGGGATTTATCTCTAAATTTTAAAACGAAACAAGTCGGAGAAACCATTGTCAGCTTGGCGATATCTCTCCAAATTACCGAGATACCCATTTACTCAATGTTAAAATTTGCTTCGCGTTACATTACACGGAGAAATACAATTTCACACACACAATTCTACTAAAACGACCTATCTAAATGCAAACTTCATAACAATATTTAGACTAACACAGATAATGTTTTCATTTTTTTGATTTATTTAATTACGGCAAAGCTTGAGAGGCAAAGCCTCTTCCCAAGGAGAGAGACATCTTTATAGAGGGCTTTCTATGAGAAACTGGGTCTTATACACTTTACACGTGTGGAAAAACACGGAAACGTCCATGCAGCCAGCTAGTTAGCTTTGAGTCGAACCCAGATAAGAACTACCAGCGTTCAGCGACTTTACCGCTCGACCGCTGATAGACTGCTAACACAAAAAACGTGGCGAAGTAATCGCGTTTGAAGGACTCCACAGATACTCTTAGAAATTTCAAATGTGTTCGAAGATAGACGGAGAAACAAGCCGCAAGGGAATTCACAAAATAGAAACTGTAGAGAGAATCAGGTGCATCCAAGATGAAAGCTTTGGTCAGAATGAATTAGTTTCAATTCAGCATTATTATTTTGATTGGGTAATTAATGGCATGGATTAATTTTGTAATCTTGCAGTTTAAAGCGATTTATTAAGCTGTCACTGTTTTAGGATGGAAATTGGAAGTAAATAATTTTTTAAAAATTAAAAAAGAAATATCTGAAAAGAGCTCAAATTTTAACGTCACCCAAAAGGTTTGTTAAATTATTCTACGCTCTCGTTCAGTTCGTTGTTATACTCACTGTTATATGCATTCGGTCTTCTGTTACACTCACTTCATCTAAGCCATTTCTTTTAGTCTTTTAAGCTTTATTATTAAGCATCATTTTCTTTGCACTCTCGCCATATACAATTCAACAACAAAATTACAAACATTTAAAACCAGCAACTGTTTAGAATTCTCGATGAAGTGTTTACATACATTTTTATATAATTTTTTAGTCTTTTCTCAGCTCATCATATTAATGTACAGTGTTTTTAGTAAAATAGATTTGCGAAACGTTTTCCTGGTTTTTAGTCCAAAGGGATTTGAATCCCGAAGGACTATTAGTTTCGTTTTGGCATTTCGCGTCGGACTCATAAATGTCGGTTCACTTTTCAAACTGTTGCCACAAAATGTTAGAGTCCTGCATTATATTTGAAGAAATTAAATAATGAAAAGTCTGCATAAATGTATGTATATTTCTCGTATTGTGATAAAACAACGGTACATAGAGTCATCGAATTTCGAATAACGTAATCCTCCAACGAATATGAGCATGTGGAAGACCAAATTTGAAATTTGAAATTTGTTTTATGATCGATTTTCCTATTTTTTAAAAACTTTGACGAATTTTTGATTAACAAACTCAATGATTTCAAAGCGAGCAATGGCAACGTTGTGCAGAAAAAACCTTTTTATCTCCAGCGCGTGAGTCTCTGTATCGGAAATTCTAAAGATATGCTCGTTTTAAAACTATTTTGCGATATTGCTGTTGCACTGGATCTTATGGTTTAAGTGCGAGGAACATGATATTTAATAAAGAAAGGTAACACACAAAATATTAAAAAACGCCCCTTTGGACGTAATTTAAAATCTGAAACATTTCAATTTTTTTTTTAATATTAACGTTTTGTGTGTTAAATTATTTAATTAAATATCCTGTTCTTAGCGATTACGCCACAGTCACAAAATACATTCGGTCACAAAAAATATGCACCCAGAAGAAATCAAGTCATAATCACGAAACTCAGCAAGAATCTAGTCTGCTAAAAAGATAGTCAAATGATTTAAATTTTGACGCCAACGAGACAAGAATCGGCGAGCTATGCGTATATGAGATGCCCAGCAGGGAGAGTTTAAAAGCACGGTTGCTCGTGCTATAGGACCATTCAAACGAATCTGTCCCAACTTGGATGGATGGTACTGTGACTAGAGATGCTTCTGAGGTGTAATCGACGGTAGTACTAACAGCTGTCGGACTTAACTAACAGTTGCTAACAGTACTAACATTTACTACTTTTGTACTAACAGTTGTCGGAAAAGGGGTATATAGTAGGCCTCAGAAAAGCACGTTGGTCAAACAGGGGTTTCAGCCACCACCTCAGTCGGAGCAAGTTGGTAATTGCTGGGTGTTGGCGATAATGGATGACAGAAGGGATAGTCTGCCGTCACGGAGGTCAGGGCGCCCCAGAAGCGCAAATGAGCGCAATCATAACAACGGCACTTCCGCACCAACAACGTAGCTTAGCATTGATTCGACGCCGTTTACTACCTGCCAATCATCCCGTGGCATCAAGCGAAACCATTTGGAGATAACTCGCCGACGCTGGTCTGTGCTGCTGACGTCCATTAAGGCGCTTACCACTAACCCACATTATAAGCAGTGTCGACTGGCTTTTCGCCGAAGGGCAAGCTGGAGTGTGCCTGGCTGGAGGAGACTGGAGGCAATGAATCCCGATTCGGTATTAGTGCTGATGACCAACGCACACGCGTGTGAAGGCCAGGCCAGCGGTTCGATCCAGCATTTGTTGTCCAGCAGCGTACGGCGATTAAACAAGTTGTGACAGTGTGGAGAGCAATTTGTTGGGACTCACGATCACCTCTAGACGTCCTTCAAAGCGTCTTGCAGTTACGTGTGCGACATTTAAAAGCCGGTTGTAGTGCCCGTGCTATAAAGTCGTCCAAGTGCTATTTATCAGCAAGACAATGGTCTTCTACGTACAGCACGAATCTCCCAACGATGTCTTGAGGGATGTGACATACACCCGTGGCTTGCCAGGTAACCAGACCTCTTCCCAATTAGAGCACGTTTAAAACATGCTTGGAAGGCATTTACAGCCGCCCTGGAATATTTGTGAATTAACTGTCCAGTTGCAAACATTTTGGCATGACCTTCCGTAGGGGGTCATAGGAAACCTACTTGATCCGATGCAACGCCGTATTTCGGCTTATATAGCTCCCGGTGGTCTATACTACTTACTGATTTGTAACCATGTTCATGCCGTAACTTCTTAATAAAACGATTTTTTGTTCTGAATTTGTAATCATTTGTTTATCTCCTCATTCACTACTTACATGTTAAGTTTCGTGATAGTAATTCCTTTCCTTCTGAGTGCATATATTGTTTGTGACAGAGTATATCTAAGAACAGTATATGTTTAGAATTTCCCATAGATAAACAAGCACTCTAGAGATGAATTTTTTTTCTTACGGTATTGTTACCTCTTGTTGTTTGGTTGGTTGGGTTTGTTCAACTTTCATTAAAGTTTTGCAAAATATGCAATATAATATTGGGAATCCAAAATTCGGGCTTCCAGGGGCATATGCTCGGGTGGAAGAGTAGGTTATTCAAAATTGTTTGTCCTTAGGTACCCTTGTTTTTTCATAGGGCGAGAAGCATACATACATAGTACATGTAGATTCTTCATTATTTAATTTCTTTAAAAGTAATGGAAGGGGATAACATTTCCTGGCAACAATTTGAAAAGTGATTCAGACATTAAAAG